GGTTGGAGATTCATGATCCTTGAGGTCCCTTCCAACCCTGGCAATTCTGTGATTCTGTGATTCTGTGACTCTGGTGGTCAACACAGGCTGAATGAATTCCAGTGAACCTCGAATGAATTCCAATGAATTTCAAATGGAAAATATAAGTTTAATGTACTGTTTGAATCCCTGTGCTGTGTTTTCTGTGTTCCTTAAAATGCTGTGTAAGAAATTGTTTGATACCAACTTTGACAATTTCTTAATCTTAGCTTTGTGCCAACTGTTTACAAACCCTACTTTAAACTTTTTTTGTGTGGTGATTAAACAGTATTTTTCTCATCTAACATTTTAGTAGCTTGCAGCAGTGAATAGATATCTAAAGTCTGTGCTGAATACCAAGGTATTCAGAATCTACTAAGACATACTTAGGAAATAAATCCTTTAGTGTCCCATCAAAGCTCATTTGAGCTTTCTTGGTAGATCACTGCTGTGATAGAACTAAATCCAAAGTTCAAGGCTAACATTTTAACTGCGGGATGGTACTTCTAGTTGCATTTATGCAGTTGCAGATTAGGTATAACTTCATTAGCAAAAAGATAGTAGTAGAGAATCCCTGGGAGCTCAGTCTTATCCCTTCTAAGTGTTGTACTTCCCAGCTGTATTATTTCAGTATTTTTGTAAGGGGCTGATCAGTAAAGCACTCAGCTAAGTGCTAAATGGAGAAAGCAGCAACAGTACCTGCTGAATGAAGTACTTTTTCTACTAAAGAACTTTATTCTAGATTAATGTTAGGTTACTCTAGTATTAAGGGCTAGATTTTGGAGGAAGAAATAGTTTAGTAATTTATTTAGAAATTTACACTGAGGTAGACCTCCCACACATTTTCTATTGTTCAGGATTGCTCCAGGACTGTAAACTCAGTATGCATCACTTGTGCAGCTCTGGAAATACCAAATATTTGTCAATATTTATGGTGTTAATCTGGGCAACTCTAGCCAAGCACAGAAAAAACTTTTGAAAAATATTGAAATTCAGCTAGTGTAAAAAGCCATGTCAGACTGAACTGCTTAAGCTAGGCCTTCATAGGGAGATGCAGATGAGTAAAGAACAAGGAAAACCAGCAAAACAAATAATTTCACACAGATAATTGATCCTATTGCTCTGCTTCTGTGTAGAAGAGGGCCTGCACTGTTTAAAATTCTTGCTTTCATTTGGTAATTTGAGTTTGCTTCACAAATCTAAGGAAGTTGTATTAGCTGGGTAGCTTCCTCAGTGTTAAGGGCATACAGATAGGTCTTCATATATAAAAGTATAGTAACATTAATTTGCACATTATATGAGATATTCAGGGTATTCAGACAGGGCGCTAAATTGTCAACAGATTTTTCAGTTATTGAAAATCTCAAATATGGAAATAACTGTCAATTAAAAAAAAAAATTAACCTTGATCTATTGTAGTGACTCATTTCGAATTTGAAGAATTGCGTGGGAGGCTTTTTTCTGTTTTGAAAAGAGTCGAGATGCTTGTTTGATCTAATCGTCTCTTCTCTTGTCCTAGTGTGTGGTGGTTTTATTGTCATTGCATTGTTCAGGGAATTAAGGATACACGGATGATTATCTGTTTTTATCTAGACATGTGTTGGTATTTGAGAGCACCTGATATTCTCCTTCTTGCACTGAAATTTCATTCCTTCCAATTTTCCTTCTAAGATATCAAACACAAGTTTCTATGCTGAAAAAATAGTTCTAGAATGATCGCTCCTGTAAATCTTTCAAAATTCTTCATTTCCCTTCAGAACTGGATCTCTTCATTTGTTCTTTATGCATTGTGAGCTGCCTGGCAATGTCATTTTATTAAGCTTTCAGCTTTTCTGTCATTGAATTTAAGAACAGCAGCTCAGGCCTTCTGCCAAATCAGTGTTTTGGGATTGAAATTGTCACTGTTTTTCTTTGTTGTTAAAAATAATATGATGTTCAAAGTTGAAGCCAAAGTCCTTTTTTGTAGACTAAATAATTATCTTGACATAATTTGTGGTTTTTACATCTGGCATTTTGTGAGAGCAGAGCAAGATGGGTTACAGTCCTGAAGAGTCTCAGTTCTGTTTTCTTGGTTGATTTCAGTAATAATTTCTCATCATCTTTAAATGAGTATTCCTTTTGGAAACGCAGCTTCTATATTGTGAACTTGCTAGTCTGGTGCCATATGTAGGCTGATAGGAAGTGTTGTGTTCCCAGTGCTGGATGTTTTAATGGCTGGACACAAAATCTTTTACCTTTGATGAAATGGTATCTTGGGTTTCTGTGTACTCAGGAGATTTTTTATCCTCCTTTTTCTCCAGATTACTGTCTGGAGGACTGACTTTGAAAAAAGCAGTATCACACCTTTGCCAGCCATTTATTAATGTCTCAATTACATGTTAAACTCATATTTACCTCCAAGTTATGAAGATGTTTTGCTACTCTGCTAGTCATTACAGCAAACTGATACATCAGAAATGCTGAAGGTTGAAGAAGAGGAAATGCACTTGCTAGGAAACTGCATCAGGCAGCATTTCAAGGTTTGTCTCCATTTCACTGTGCTGCTGAATTTCCTTATTGTTTTTATGTCCTTACTTTATCTTTCAGTGTAACATTTTTGTTTTATATTGGCACTAAGAGAGTTACAGATGGCAACATATTTGCTATGTTTTGAAGTAAAGATGCTGGAATGGGAAATGTGGGAATAAGCTTCTTCGTACTACTCTATGGAAACCTCATGCAGTCCCAGTTTTCCCATGCTTCAGTTACCTACATACAAAACCAAGATAACATTTCCCTACTGCCTGCCATACTACTTCTCCACTTCACTGCAACAAAAGAACACTCAGAACTGCTAGGTAAGGGAGCTCTATACATATATACATCTAGAGGGTTGTAGGAGGATTAATCCCGCTAAGTCAGAAAAGGGAGAACTTGTTACTTGTTTAGAACAGGTTAGTTTCAGTTGTTCTTCATGCCAGTGTGAAAAACTCTTTAACTTGTAGCCCCGTGAAAGCCAATAATATCATCCAACCCTTTCCCCTTCCCTTTGTTTTCCAAGCACACTGCCCCTTCCCACAAACTACGAGCGTCGTACTGGTTTCAGGAATAGCACCTACAGATTGAAAGCATTCTGGTGAAGTATATGCACTGGGTTGAAAGGGCTGATAAAAAAAACAGAGATTTCCAGACTGCAAAGAGGCTGCAGACCTGCCAAAGTGCATCGGACATTCAGTGGGGTGCAGAAACTCACTGGCACATCTTTGATGTCTTGCGTGTCCCCAGGGCCTGTTCTCATCGCTGGCTGCAGGAGCAGGGAGTGGAAGCATTTCAAACTTTGTAGGAAAGGACTTTGAAGTTTGTCAAATTCATCTCAGTATGGAAGGGGAAAAAATCTGCTTGAATTATTTTTACATGAGGAGAGAATTGCTTCCTGCTCAGCATCAGGCAATTTCAGATTGTGGCTCTCAAATGTGCACAAACACACTTTTATGGTGTTTAACTGCAGGGTTTGGGTTGGCACCACTTCAGAGGAATATTTGAACATTCCCATTGGATATTTGAATAATGAAGGATTAAGATTTTGTCTATGGTATCTATATGTGCATGTAGTTTTACAACATAAGTCTTATAAAGAAAACTGAAAAATATCCTTTTGAAAAATTCCTAAGTGTAAAAAAATCTGTAAAATATAAGTCAAGCCAATCAGTTTACATCCAGCTTTGACATCTGACATGCCTCCCTCTTCATTAAGAGAAGTCAGTGGGAGGCAGACAGAGCAGGAGGGTAAGAGGAGGGTAGAGCTGTGTCAGCTGCCTTTCCCCTCATCTCTTTGAACAGTTTTGCTGTCCTTGCAGCCTTCGTGCCAACCCCCTGTAACCCTGAGCAGTACCTACAGCTGAAGGATTGCTGGCTGTGCACAAATGTCTGTGCTGCTTCTTACACTGTGATCTGAAGATATGTGCCTACTGGTGAATCTGTTCCTTATAGTCTAATTATATTGTCCAGTGAAACAACTAAAATATGGCAAGGGTAATTAACAAAAGAAAACAAAATCTTTTTTTTTTCTTTTTTCTTTTTTTTTTTTGTTC